AGCTTGGAATCTAATAAAGCTATCGCGCCGTGGAAAGACGCATTTGGTAGCCCTATTAAACGTTCTCTCTGAGTATTTCTCTCGGATGTGACCTATCGTCAACGGTTTTGCGTGCAGGGGGCAAAAACTGCCAAAATAGCCGATTTTTTTGGAAACCGTTTTCTGTAATACCTTTTGACTCAAACCTTGCACGCTCTTTCTTTTACCAGCATCGTGTTCCTCTCGTCAAGACGCGTCGAATGAACTATCACTTTACCTTGAAAGGTTAACTTGAAAATTTGACCTCAGGTCATGGTCATGACCTGACCGGTAAGGGTCAAGTTGCACATCAGTCGATCCGTATCGTCGAGGAAAACACAACTAAGGTGTTTTCATCGCTCTAGCATGCCTCTATCAAAAGTTACTCGCGAAAAAACAGTCAGATACCATTGGTGACCTGAGATGACCTCACGGGCATTAAAAGGGGTCATAGGTGCCATTTTTATGTTCAGTGTGTCAAAGATACTAGTAATTCAGTGTTTTAGAGTGTTTATAATGACTTCCGTCTAAAAAAGGCGACTGTCAATTTTCTGCCATTATAATGGGGAGGTGGCAAAATTAACCTGATCTTAGGTCATCGATATCAAAATTCCAAGATGCACATTTTGTACTTAATTTTGCTATTATCAATCTCTGAAAGTTTGAAAGCGATCGGTTACTCGGTGTAGCTTTGGCAGACATTGAAACTTTTTATGTAGTGAGGTCACTTGACCTGATCTGGTGACCTTACCTTAAAGGGACCCTCGCACCTTCAAAAAAGTTAATGAATTGGCATTAAAGTGATGTCGCTCGGTTCAGAACGAGCAAAAACGAATATCTACCACATATCACCGAAAAATATTCACCGGTTTTCAAGATATTAGACTTTTACTTTTGCTTTCTTTTTAGGATCTCCGCTGTTCCTAGCGACTTCATTTTGGAAATGCGGCGTTTGCGGCAGATCTTACGGGCAAATAGCATATACCACCACTGCTTCACAAAGATATTAGCGTAAGGTTTTAAAATCGTTAGATCACCGCTGACGTCACAAATTCTAAGGGGGCATTCCAATGCTTTAGCCCCTTAGAATCCGAAAACTGCAAGTTTAAAATTCCATATTTCCGAATTAAAGCATTGTTCGATGTTGTGAGTGCCCAAACCGGTATTTGCAGGCCATGGCCACCAATTTGGCTATTTCAACTCAAAACTAATGTTAAGGTGGAATGGTCACTTTAACCTTCCAGGCGGTGGGGGGGACATTTTTTTGCCCCCCTCCCCTTTAGTTTTTTCAATATATCTCGAAAACCGCTGCGCCGATCGTCACCAAACTTTCAGTACCCTCCCGGGAGCAGCTAGCGCACATGGTGACCAAAATTTTTTCCAAAGGCTATGATAGGTTGGCCGCTAATGACGTCAGAGTGACGTCATTTTTGCCATTTTCGACCCAAAAAAAGGTTTCGCGGGAAGAGCTGTCAGGCCTACAGCTTTAGAGATACAGAAAAATGTTTCGACATAAAAGGTGTGGAATCAAGAGGGCTACAAAACTGCTATTTCGGTTTTTCGAATTTTTTGGATTTTGACCCCCAAAAATTAAAAAAATAGATTTTTTGAAAATAATAGCCAAAAAATCCAAAAAGTTTTTTGAATTTCGAAAAAAACGGAATATACCTATGTGATAGTCCCTACCGCCTTCTATGTACATACCAAATTTGAGATCGATACCTCTTTTTTGGCCAAGTTATAGCGAAAAAACTTCAAAATTGATGACGTCAAATTTTCAAACTCAATTTTTAGCAATTCTAGACCTCGTAGCGCAAAACAAAGACCACCATTAGACTCCCCGTGACGAGCTGCATCGAATCGATACCCATTTTATGCAAAAATATCAACTTTGAAATTTGACCTTTTTTTACCTGACCTTGACCTGACCTTCACCAGAAAGTGACCTAAACCGTACCTGATGGTTTTATAACCAACACCATTGAGTTGGAAATGAAAAACTGGCCATAAAACATTCATCGCATAACCATAGTAAAGTTGGGCTCATGTGGTGACCCTTGGTGACCTTTGGTGACCTGACCTGTGACCTGACCTGGTATGACCAGTGACCTCTAATAGCAACATATGTACTAGACAACTGACGCCTTATCGCTGATTTTCGACAAAATGCATTTTACTCGGCGTTATAGCGCTTTCCCTAGAAGCCCCGTGAACGGTGAAGCATTTTATCTTTGACCTGATCTGTGACGTCATCGGTGACCCCGAGGTCAATGAAATTTGGTTTCCCTAGACAAATTTGACAGGGCTATCGAACGCCGTTTGAATTTTCCGGATCCGTCCAGTAGTTTCGGAGATACGGGGGGGGGGGCAAAAAAATGCCCCCCCCCCCACCGCGCGGAAGGTGGCTGGTAGGCCCACCGCCTGCCGGGTTAAGGGACCTGGGTCTGAAATTTTCACAACATATGTAGCAAAGATGTATGAAAAGGTGTGCCAAAAACGGTGGCGCTTCGAGCCGCCGTTTTGAGATATTCGCGGAAAACCGCAGTGGGGGGGGGGGGTGTTCAAACACCCCCAGCAGGGCGCGGGTTATTGCTGTTTTGAAGCACTAGTTACTTTGCTTCACTAGCTATTTTGTCGCTAGCGAATTTGTCACTAGCTGGTTTGAAGCACTAGCTTTTTTGCACTAGCTCAAAAGTCACTAGCTCACTAGCTCAAATGTCACTAGCTATTCTGACGTGCACCCGAAAAGTACACCCCCATAGGTTATGTTTATTTCAGAAATAGAGCATATAAATAGAGGGCGCAAAATGACCACCGCAGTCGACGCGCCCGTAAACCCCAATGAACGAACGAAAATACCTGATATTGGAAAATACGTCATTGGCTATTCCGGTGCTGTGCTATCATGTAAACTAAAACAAAGCTGCATTCATTCCCACATACATCAAGTAATGCACGCACGTTGAAGTGTGATAAAGACAGGCTATTGGTTTCAATTGCGAAGAGATCCATTTCTCAATGAGTTGTGACTGTGGATCGTGTTCTACCGAGCTCGATGAGACGACAGGTGAGGTGAATGCGTTCGCGGCATTCTGCTAATTAATATGCGTACTGTCAGAAAAAAAAGAATGATTGGACGTCGATGCCAAAGCTGGCAGGAAAGTTTGTCAGTCGTTTACAACGACACCTGTATAAATTAACTTCAAAAACCAGCTTGCAACAACAGACTGTGTTCAAACCAAGTCGGAGGAACAAAAATGGTGATCAGTCTCAACTCTCAAGTCTAAATTCTGATTTATACCACCAGTATAACGCCTTTTGAGGCGACTAACGGAGCGAGCGAGAGGGTGAGCCTTGCACGTGCGAAATTTCGAGGGGGTACCTCCAACTGACTTGGGCACGGCACTCTACTAACCGGTCTCTAGCGATGTGCCAAATTTGAGCACAATCGGCCCAGCCGTTCTCGAGATCTGGAAGCGGCACCCTGCACGTGCGCACGTGCAAAATGGGTCCCAACTGACTTGTGCACGGCACCCTACTAACTGGTCCCTCACCGTGTACCAAATTTGAGCGCCATCGGTCCAGCCGTTCTCGAGATCTGGAAACGACCCCTGCACGTGAGCACGTGCAGCAGCACCCCAACACTGGCACATGGATATGCAGTGCCTAGTGGGTGCCTACCTACATGCCAACTTTCAGCGCAATCGGCCAAGTAGTTACCGAGATATTGCAACAATTACAAAACGGACACCTCTTCGTTTTGCACGTGGCACGTGCATAAGGGGTCACCTACATGCATCGGGAATAGTCCAATACTTGGTAGAAGGAATGAAGCTACCCTACACAAATCACCGCATGTAAATCGGTCAAGTGGTTGCTGAGATATAAGCCTCGCAAAAGCGTCTGGCCGCTCATACTCAGAAATTTCCGTTAATCTAAGGAAAGACTCCGCTCGCTTCGCTCGCTCCGTAAACAAAGCATTTTTACCAAAATCGAGAGATAGGCAGGCGCGGATACAAGGGGGGGCCATGGGGGCCATGGCCCCCCCCCCCTTGGCCGATTTTTTTCAAAAATAAAATAAAAAGTTAAAAAGCTGAAAAGGGGGCCTCCTGAAAATAAAGTGGCCGAAATCCGATGAGTTTTTTTAACCTACCCACTTAGTTATTTCTTAGAAGACTAGCTGAGAAGACTTCTTTGTTAGAAGATTGGTAAAGCTTTTCATAACTTGGAGGTCTCTTATACTCACAGAGATGACCACTTTTACAGGGCCTCCTAACCTGCACAGAGGGCCTCCAAGCCTGCACAGATGTCCTAACAAACACAAAATCTCTTAGCCTACACAGAGGCCTCCACTCGCATCCGAACAAAGGGCCTCCTAGCCAACACAGAGGGCCTCCTAACTCACACAGAAGGTCTCCTATCCTGCACAGAGGGATTCCAAGCCTGCACAGATATCCTCTTCGCCAACACAGGACCTCTTAATCTCCACAGAGGGCCTCCACTCGCATCCACACGAAGGGTCTCCAAGTCTGTACTGAGGGCCTGCGCTCGCATCTGCACAGAGGGCCTCCTAGCTATCACAGAGGGCTTCCTAGTTCACATACAAGGCCTCCTAGCAGGGGCGGATCCAGGGGGCGATAGGGACTATAGCGCCCCCCCGGGCGACTTTCTCATTTTTTTTTGCAAAAAAAGCATGATAGGGGGCCCCCAAAAATAAAGTGGACGAAATCCAGGCTTAAACTTTTGGGGGTAGGTAGGGCCCCCATCGATGGGGGGCCCCCGATTCGGAATAGCCCCTCCCTTGGCAAAATGCTGGATCCGCCCCTGGAGATAGGCACCATCTATGGAGGTTGGAGGCACCACTATCCACATTGAATGTCGCCCCACCACCAATTGCACCCCATCTCAAAAGCAAAAGTAACACCCCTGAATGTCATCAAACGATTTTGATAACAATATACATAATTAAAGTCAGGTCACCGTCAGCTTTTGAGTATTATGTGCATTTTATTTCTTTCCTGGATCACCTGGCCCTCCGACGAACCTCGCCAGTAGCGGCGGAACACCTTCAATTAAGGGGGGGGGGGGTCACTGCCGACTATTGGTCCCATTCTTTCCATGCAACGCCCATAGGGCTTATGTTAAAAAGCCAAAATCACAGGGGGTGCAGTAACCGCCAGTCAGAGCCGCGTTCCGTTCCAGTCACCCGACCCAGCGGCCGGCCGCGAACCGCCCCAGGTCACAGACACAATCCCGCGATTTTATTCCGCTACCTGACCGCTTGGAGCAGCGTGAGAGTTCCGGTTAGCACCTTGGTCCACTGGATGTCGTGCTTAACCCAAACCAACCAACCAACCGCGATTTTATAAGGGCTTGGCTTTGGCAGCCGGCCAAAGCCAACTTCTGCGCACGGCTACTCGCAGTGAGCTACTGCTGGGGGCACGTTTCATCGGTGCCCTCCCCGTTCCGCCGCATATGAACCTCGCTGCTACTGGTGACCCCCTGAGCGGGTTGATGATCATGACGCCGGCGCCTTCTGGTGCGGGTCCCGCTGGTCCCGCTGGCGGCTCCTCGCTGCTGATCGCTCCTCCTCGCTCCCCGCTGCTGATCGCCAGAGAAAGTGCTGGAGATGTTTTTGAGAGCCAGAGTTGGGACTCGAACGTTTGTCACCGTACGGCAGAGCGGACACTGGCGATTTTTATTTGGATTTAGAGGGTTCAGGATATCATGAAGCGTTTCTCCGGCGGGTCTCGGCGTGTTTTCTATGCAGGTTTTACAAAATGTGTGGGCACACACCATGGTTACTGGCTCGACGAAGGTGCCAAGGCAGACGCTGCATTCCACGTATCCTTTCTGTCTCTGGAAAAGTTCTCGGAGTTTTGTCAGTTCTTCAATGTTCTTTTTCTTGTCTTCCTCTTCTGTTTTTATTTTGATCTCTCGCTCTTCATCTTTATCCTTCAGCTCTTTCACCAGAGTCTGCATACTGGCGATCTGCCGTTCATAATCAGCGTTCATTTGCTGAAGAGTATACATGGTCTTCTTGCTGCATTCATGATCGATAATAAGTTTTGCATAACTCTGCATTAACTCTGTTTCTCGCGATTCTTTTTCTATAGTTGCTCTCAAGTCACCTCCCTTTTCCTGTCCATATTTTTGCCTCTCACGTTCACTTTCGTCTCTTAGTTTGTCCTCGGGTTCTTTCCGCGCTCGTTCCTCTGTCTCGCGTGTTTCTTTTTCCCTTCTTTCCTTTTCTAGCCAATCGTTTTCCTTCTGCCGCCATTCTGCCTCTTTGTTCTGCCATTCGGTTTCTTTGTTTTTCCATTCCGTCTCCTTTTCCTCCCATTCCGTCTCCTTTTGCTGCCACTGCTGTCGCTGCCGTATTGTCTTTATTTCCTTTTCTAGACACTCGTGTTCCTTTTGGCGCCAGTCTGCCTTCATGTTTTTCCATGACGCTTCCTTGTTTTTCCATTCCATCTCCCTTTCCTTCCATTCTCTCTCCTTTTCCTTCCATTCCGTCTCTTTTCGCCCCCACTGCTGTCTCTCCGCCTCCAACTGCTGTCTCTCCGCCTCCTTCTGCTGGCTCGAGAGGTTGTCTTCTTTTGCCTGCGGGCGAACTCTGGCTGTCTGCTCACACACCTTGTAATGTCTCTGAAGTTGTTTGCCCGACTTTTCAAGTAAATCGTTCACATGGCTTACATCCTTCCCAGCGGTGTCGACCCTTTTGATGCGGGTTTCGGCACTGGGGTCCTGCTGCGGTCCCTCGCAGAGGCCCTGTCGGTCGGACCTTTCCTGGTCTTCTTGTCCCGTAGGAGTTCGAGCTCTGGGTGGCCGAGAAGCTGATCTCCCGCTTCTATCCTTCCTCAGCTCTTCCAGCACTTGCTCTTCTGTCCAGCCAAAGAATGTCAGAACCCGCTGGTTGTGCGGCTCCTTCAGGCTGTGACTCCTGGAGCACCTGTCTCCAAACCTGCAGCGACTGTGGAGGAACGCCTCGCAGTAGTGCAGTTGCAGGCAGTGTCCCTGGCAGCCCTGTTTGCCGTAGGTTCCGCAGAGCCCCGGCTGGGGAGGTGGGTGGCGCACCTGCTCCTGCAGTCGCCTGAGGAGCTCTGGCACAGGTGTATCGGTCAGACCGGCACTGGCCAGAAGGGCGGTGTTGTGCTTGTCGTGCAGGTCGTGACTGAGGTCACAATCGTCCAGCGGACAGGTATCCACTACGCGGCGGTAGCAGACGTGTAGCCGGTCACAGTTGGGGACAGAGCAGCTGGCCATGTTGTAATTGAAGCAGATGCTGACCGCCTGTTCTCGAGCCATTCGGCGGAGGATGTCCAGCGCCAACGCCAGGTCCCCCGGACCTCTCCACCCCTCACTCTCCAGCAGCAGGGTGTTTCTGGGCGTCCCCAGGGCGTGAGCCTTGTTGCATCGCTCGGCGGTGCATCTGTTTTGAAGGAAAAGTGTGCATAAGTGCAGTTCATGGCAGTTGGAGCGGCTGCATCCTCCCCTGTGGTTGTAGTCGTTGCACATGTTAGGGAGGCGTCTGGGCGCCTGCTGCTGTCCATCCCACAGTATTTCAGGTGGTGAGAAGCTCATCGTGATGCCTGTAATACACAGGAGCGACATTGTAATAAAATCTGTCCTTCGTTCGTCAGCCGACGTCCGCTGACCGTCTGCTACGGTGGCCAGTAGATTGCATTCGGAGTTCAGACTATGCAAATTGGAAAGCATCTCATCTCAACTCACATATTGAACACATTCATTCAAAACAAACAATCAGTGTCACCTCGATTGGCGCAAAAGTGCTGGAGCACTCGGGGCGCCTCTCGAGTCAGTATGTACGGCTCTCGCGAGATTAAGCGGTAGATTTTGCACTTTTACATTTCCGGTTATATCTCAGAAACTAATCGATCTACGATGAAGCCATTTTACACGATCATGGCCGGCTTGTGAACCAGAAAGTCGATCGCATCTCCAACACTTAAAAGCTTAAGACGACGAAGATATAGCCTGAAGTATTCTAATTTTTTTAGGTGCAAAACCTACCGTTAAAACCCACGAGACCTGTACAATGGCGCGGGGTGCCGCCCACAGCCTCCGCTGCCCGCCACCGCGCAGACCGCTCACAATAGAAGTAAAGGCGCTGGCGCCGGGGACAGCGCTCTGTGACGACCGGTGTCAAAGGACTGGGCGTTAGGGATAGCTGGCAGGATGGGAAGGAGAAGCTAAACAAAACAAAGCATTGGCTAAGGAAAATGTATGTGTACAGCTCGAAGATCTCAAATGTCTTTAGTTAGGGGACTGTTTGGACCGCGAGTTCTTCTGCAGGTGTCGTAGGGATGCATGTTTCTCGTTGAATAAAATCATATGAGCCGGAGCCATCCTTGTGGAAGTACTAAATAACGGTATGGGGAGGGCAATTACTTCTACTAAGAATTCTCGTCTATCGAGGACTCGTCTATCACTATAGTTCTTCGTGCTAAGGAAATGATTCTCGCAGATATCAGAAACGGGAAATGTCATTAACAAACGGTCAAAGGTAATATGTGAGATGGTGCTTTTTGCCATGATGAATAGATATGAATATACAAAAATGATCAATAGCATGGCAGAAATATAAAACTTTTATTGTAAAATAGGCCAAATATGAAAATAAGCTTTCGCTTTACAGTACCATCAGATTCAAACTGATTATGCTGTAAAGCGAAAAATTCTCATATTTCGCCTATTTTACAATAAGGTTGTTGTTGCCTCAAACCCCAATAAAACAACAACAACCTTAGACCGTTTTCCAACGACATTCGCCCTTTCTGATCTATATCATTTTGATCACTCAGTCATTGGTCTCACACAATTTTTATTTTTTTCAGGATACGCACCACTTTTTGCGTTTCGTGCATTTACACATAACTAGCGATAACATTGTGCAGCAGCTCAGTTACGTCTACTCACTGTTTTTGTGTCGTGCTCAGCCGGAGTGTCGTGGATCGGTCAGACCGGGTCACCGGCGCCCAGTCACCTGATGCCACCCCAGAGAGCAGAGACGTCGTGTCTTTGTATCAGTGACTATGTTTGATGACGGTGTACAGGGCATGAATCAGAAATCAACGACATCTGCTGATCTTTGCACTTGGCCGGTCAGATTGTGTATCGCACTGTCGATGTCCTGTCACCGGCTGGTCTGTCGTGTATTTTCCCTCCCCTTTGCCTCAGTTTGTAGTGTGTTCCCGGCCTAGTCTGCAGTGTTTTCCCCGCGGAAAGCTTCCCTACAGGCAATCTCTGTAGTGTATTTCCCTCTCCCGGTCCGGCCTGTAGTGTTTCCCTGCTCTCCTGGCCATGCCTGTAGTGTAGAAGTGTGGTAAGTATGCAATAGTGTTTTCCCGGCATATTTTGTACTGTTTCCCCTCTCTGCCGGCCCCGATCTGTAGTGCTGCGCCCCCCCCCCCCGCGCTCCCTCAGCCCCTATCTGTAGTGCATTTCCCTGCGGCAGGCCTGTGTGGTCGCTGTGGTGTATTCCACGCCCTCCCGGGCCGGCCTGTAGTGTTTTCCCGCTCTCTTGCTCCTATCTGTAGTGCATTTCTCTCCCCGCCGCGCCGGCCCTATCTGCAGTGTGTTTCCCCGCGGCAGGCCTGTGTGGACGCCGCTCTGCCGTCTGAGCTGGGCGGCCTCTCCGCCGACTCCCTGCTGGTGGACACGGAGGACTCCCCGGTGACGGAGCGACTGCACAGCCTGGCCGCCGCCGCCGCCGACCATGTGCACTGCGCCGGCCGCGCCGCCGCCGACCCGGCCGCGCGCCGCGCCGCTGCCGACTTCAGCGCCGAGTCGGCGCTGCGGCGCGTGCACGTGCTGCGCGTGAGCAGCGCCGCCGAGCTGCTGCTGCTGCCCGCGGTGCTGACGGAGCTGCTGGAGCGCCGGACGCTGCGGCTCGTCTGCGTCGACTCTGTGGCGGCGCCGTGGCGGTGCGGGGAGCCGGTGCCGCGGCGCGCGCAGGAGCTGCAGTGGCTGGCGGCCCAGCTGCGCCGGCTGGCCGCCCGCCGCGGCCTGGCCGTGGTGCTGACCAACCAGGCGACCACGCAGCTGCCGGCCGGTGGGGGAGCGGCCTGCCTGGTGCCGGCGCTGGGGCCCGGCTGGCGCCACTGCGCCGCCCTCCGGCTCTGGCTGGAGCCGTGCGGGGACATCCGACTGGCGCGGCTCACCAAACACCCCGAGCGAGCTGACGGCACGGCGCCCTTCCAGGTGCTGGCTGTGGGCGTGCGGGACGTCTGCGGCGACTTTGACGAGCCGGCCGGACAGAGCGAGGACAGCGAGCAGGAGGGAGAGGGAGAGGGCCCCAGCGGAGGGGACGGGGACGGCCCCGGGACAGGACAGGAAGGGGACGGCGCGGGCGGTGCTGAGAGCGAGGCCAAGTCGCAGGGCGAGGGCACAGGCCACGTGAAAGAGGAGGGTCATGCTGTCGGGGGACATATGACGGAGCGAGCGAGTGACGTGACGGCGACTGACGTCACGCCAAGGACTGGTGATGTTTCAGACTGTGCTGCTAGTAAGCGCCAAAGGCTCATTTGATTCGTAATGTGCCGTTAGCTAGTTTTTATGTGACAGCTATAGGCCGATTCAGGCTGTGGTAGTTTGTGAGCCGTTTCTGGTGGCTTCATGCGGTTTATTGTTTTATGTATTTGTCTTATGTTTTAATCTTTAGCGTATGTTAGTCTTTGCCGTAGCAGCGGTATTTATAACCTCACGGTGTTCGTGTGCGTCTCGTTGTAAGCATCGTTTTACATTTTCTCCTTTAAATTCCTCATTTTCTTACCGAACGAGTTTTAACGGACATCGTTTCTTACCCGCACTTATGTCGTCCTGCATTCATTGAAAGGGTTGTGCACGGTGCAGTTGTACGTAGGCACTCTTTTGAAGTTAAGGTTACCTGGGCTGTGACCCGGGCACTCTTTCGGATATTATTGCAAGCAGTCCCAGCCTGCAATTTTTTTAACTCTGGTGCGTTTGTTTAGATGGAAATATACATTTTTAATGTACTCTTTCGTCTCTGACCAATGATGATGAAGGTAGCTGTGAGTGATGTCCCGAAAACTGTGTTCTGTAAGCAAATGTTGTGTTCGTTTAGTGCAATAATCTTGCCATGGTCGTTAAACACTGGCATCTTCGATGGCGACTGAAGTTCCGTTCGCCAGCTTCGGGACGCTCCATGGATAAAGTCGAAACGCATTTCACAATGTATTCTACACATTCAATATTCCTACAAATATAGGTAAACAAGGATAAAACGCTAAAGGCACCTTACAACTGACAGCTGAATGAAAAGCACAACAGGTCATTGGTTACTGTGTATTGGCAGTTTGACTCGGCCCTCTGCGGGCCGAAGAGTTGCGCTCGTAGATACATTATTGACCCAACAAATCCGGGCGTGGATAAAGCAGTGACATCAGTACCTACACTAGTCTTGTGCGTGGGCGAACGATATTTGTCCGATATCAGAGTAAATATCATTCCGACCTTCAATGCAAAACTTCCAAGCGTAAAAAATGTGGACATAAAACACGAGTCCGACTTCAACCCAAACATGGGGTTTCGTTACACAACAATTTTGATTTGGGAGCGATTCTGCAGTCGACATGCATAGAGATCTTATATATTTTATATATTAGATCTCTATGTCGACATGTCTCTAAGGATTGATCGCACCGGACGCAAGGCCACGCTCGTCGCTTCAAGGCACTCTCGGGAACTCTATTCCAGCAGTCCAAGTCCAGCGCTCGGCCACACCGCCTGCGGTCCTAACAGGGCGATCAACGATGTCGCCAGTAGGCGGATCACTCCAACGTACTTCTCTTCGAGACGTTTCCCGCACCCTTGGGGAGCCCGCCTGTTCGGAAGGAGTTTCGGGTCTCAGGGTAGCCCCTCTCATGCTTCTCCTGCGCTCACTGGGGAGGCACGACCACGCCAGCGGCATTTCTCGACCCTCTCACACCGCCGGACCTCTCCCTCCGCTTCTCCCCAGTTCGAGTCCTCGGCGCCGCTTTCCTATCACTGGCTGCAAGTTCAATACCACCGTAACACCTAACTGACACCGTGACGTGGGACGCTGAGGCGGGGCTGTGGGACCACACGTCCCTCCCCAGCCCGGCCGGCCGGCCCCTCCATCCCCGCCGCCTTCCAGAGCAGGTCCTTCGGCGTCCCGGCAGCCCAGCCGGCGCGGCGCGGGCCGGCTTCAGCCGCTGGGGTCCTCAAACCTCGGCGGCCAGTGTCGAGCGCCACTGCCTGGCGCGCGGTACGGCGCATGCGCGCTGACCGGGCCGCGGTCACAGCACTGCCGTCAGGCACTGGCTGCTGGCGGCGCACGGGTTGTAGCAGCAGCGCTGCTCCGTCGGACACTGGCTGTCGTTACTGCAGCGGCCCGACTGCGGCACCGACGGCGCCGGACACCGCATCATGTTGATGAACGGGCACTTGCCGGGCCGACCTGCCGAACAGAGGGGTTGGTAATAGTGGGCAGACACTTCCCGGGCCAATATGTCGAACGGAGAGACGTGGGCTAGTGGAGAGGTGATAAGTTTCGGGAAAACTTTTCAGCAAGATCTTGGTCAGAGGATGACTATCAGCTGGCTATGTAGGCATGCTGTGATTTATGATAAAAACTCTTCTCCCTTTCCCAGATGAAATCATATAAGTACATTGATGAAATGCCAATGCCATTTATCCAATGTGTCTACAAAATCTTACAACTCAACTTCAACGTCTCGTCACTGCTCTAGCGTAATGCAGCTTGTTGCCACTAGTTGCCAGTTGCCACTATGTCGTACTCACGTGATATGATGACCTTGGGCGGCGGCTCGGTCTTGGCCTGCGGCGTCCGCTGCAGGTCGTTAATCACCGGTAGGATGCCGAAGAACACGCTGCCGTCCACGCGCCCGCTCAGGTTACGGCGGATATCTGCCGAAGGAAGGGGAGGTCAGTCGTCACGTGCTGGATCTCCAGCCCCACAGGTTTTCGACGACATTCACGGGCTGCTGAGTGACTTTTCTTTTTACATTAGGTATTTTACGAACGTGGTCTATGGGAATATCCAAGTACCCACAGTTTCAGAATATACGGAAATATCTGGAGAGGAAGAAGATCCAACCGATCTGTGATTAGCTTCTAAGCCCTTAATTTACTGTTCCAGTCATTTTCCGCTGCGAGCCGCTCAGCTGCCTCAAAGTTTTCCTGTATGTCCGGATAATTAGCTGACTGCCAGCGGCTGTGGCCCGCTGGCTCCTGCCCGATGCGCCGTGGGATTGGTCCGGAGGTGTTTTCGCTGACGCTGGGTTCGCCTCGCGTGAGCGGGCCGGCCGGCGCCGCCTGGAGCGAGCACCGGGAACCGAGCCGGTGTTTTCCTGTTTCCTGGACGATGAGCCACCTCTGAGACATTCTCTAATCAACTGCGCCGCCGCTTTACCCGCCATTGTTTGCCAGTGTGAAAAGTGTCCGGTTCGGAGAGGAAAGCCGCGCTGGCAGGCAGGTAGGTGTCTAATTAGTCGACTAGCCTGAGGCGCTGCGCCGGCGCGCGCTGCACTGGTTCGACGAGCTCTGACGAGGCACGAGCCACAATGTGTAAACAATGCTCGGGTGACTGACATACGTATATCCCGGGGGCTACCTGCTACCCGGGTAATACCGGATACGTCCTAGGGTATATACCCAGAGACTGGTAGATTGGAGTTATGTAGTTTGAACCTGACCTAGATAGAACTGGTGTGACAGGATTTAATTTGTCCATGCATTTGAGGCAGGACACACATATCACCTTTGGCGACATGCTGGTTTGAACTGGCGCTTGGGGCTTGGAGAAGATTACCTCACCCTTCAAAAATGGAACCAGATTAAGTGTGAGAACATGACGAAGTTCTGACATCCATAGCCAAGCCACTCCGGGGTTGTTAGGGCTGCCGTTAGTTAGAGCAGGGATGGAACCTTGGTAAATCCCGACCCTTGTCGATGCGAGGGGCAAGGTTAGAAGAAGGAGCCCGTCCCATGCTCTCATCATTGGGGACGAGTAAAGCCAGATAGAGTGTCGCACTGAAGAATGAGGCTTTATCTAGATTAAACAATAGCTGGGCAAATTTTACAGCTGCGAGATGTTTTAGAAAACAAGAAATCCGAATGTGATTTTGTTGCTTGGTGGATCATCACATTCGTGTTTGTTATTTGGGCCGAACAAGGTGTTCCCTCACGAACAAATGTTGCCAAAATATGCCTCTAATCAAGTCTAGAGAGGTGCGCATCTCAGTCGTGTCCGATGGTGCACTTTCTCTCACCTTTGGCGACGTGCGAGGCGGGCGTGGGCGTGGGCGCCGGGGCCGACGCGCCGGTCAGCTCGGGGACGAAGCCCTCAGCGGAGGGCGCCTCGGTCAGCGGCGCCGAGGGCGGCAGGTAGCCGCCGGTGGGCGGCTCCTCGGTGGGCGGCCCCACGATCAGCCGGCTCAGCTGCGCCAGCCGTGTCGGCCGCGCCGTGGTCGTGGTGGTGGGCGGCTCGGTGGGCGCCGGCGTGGCGTCCACCGGGGGCGGCCGGAACCAGCGTGCCGGCTCCGGGGCCGCCGCCGGCGCCTCCACCGGCGTCACCGGCGGCGGCTGCATGTACTTGGACGGCTTGACAATCTCGCCGTTGGACGAGATGCCGCCGATGGTCTTGGTGACGGTGAAGGTGGCCTTGTTGGCGCCCTTGCCGGAGAAGCCGTGCACCACACGGCGCGAGGTGTGCGGGTTGGCCGGGTCCAGCACCACGGTGCGCCCGGTGCTGTCCTTGACGCGCACCACCACCATCGAGTGGGTGCCCGTGGTGCTGCCGGTGCCCGACGAGATGGAGAACTTGTGGGTGGTGCTGCCGCCCGAGGAGCCGCGCCAGAACCAGCGGAAACCGCTCCCCTGGGTGAGCGCGAGCGCCGGCCCGGCGGCGACCAGCGCCAGCACACAGACCGATAAACAGGAGAGCAGGCGCATGGCAGGGCGAGCTGGAACAGAGGCGACAGTCAGAACTGAGCACCCTATTGTGTGATGGCGCTGTACCGCCGTCAGAGCAGAGCACAGTACCATGCACTGACCAAGACCTTATTAGAGATTCTGAGCAAGGCCCTAAAACATCGTTCTGACACCGAATGATCATGTTGACCTTCATAACGGAATATGTTACTGTGTGGTGAATTGGTGATCTTGCTGGCAATAAGTGCCTGCGGCCACGCGGCAATATTGATTTTATTCGTCTTTTCAACTGTTACTTGTATTTGTATGGCTAGGACATTTAGTCATAATCTAGGTATACTTTGCTTCATCCTCAGCATCAGGAAAGCTGTTTTCATTTCGAAAAGATATCAGTGCGTACTGCTTAGTTCCTAGTTCTTAATAATGTAGGCATTAGCAACTGATTCAGGTCGATGCATAATGTCATAACTTATCAGTTATCAACTAAGATGATAACAATGAGACTAAAAACAAAGAGTGCACTCAACAATGTCGTGACTCTCGCTGCGTTTCAGCATTCCCGACCTTCAGCTGCCATCCATGTGTCGATTCAGACGTCCCCGCGGAGGCTGACCTAAGATTGGTCTGAGCCGTTCGATACCGCTGAGCGTGACGCCCGTCGTTGGCCGTTGTTTGCCGCCCAGGGACAAAGACACAATGGAGGGAACATTCCTGATTGGGCCGCGGCGCCGCTGAGATTTCCGGGCGGGCTTATGTGTGAGCTGCTGGTGAGGTCCTTTCCGGGACAGGCGGCGGTGCCGAGCCTCTGCACGGCTGCCCAGCCGGTGTCCATGTTCATCAGGCCTCGCGACCGAGAGATGCTTACTTGAGTAGCGCCTGCTGCAGCTTAAGTCTTCGTGTTGCTATTCATTGCATCGCGACATGAGTGACCAATAATGATAATTCATCCGTGTCGTGTGAGTCATGTTGCACGTCCGTAACATTCATATCCATTGCTAAACAGCTTCCTGGCACAATCCATGCAGCGATTGCCTTGCCAGGTAGGTCGGTTGTGCAATCTAATCCCTGCCCTCTCCCTCGGGTGTGGCGGACGGACAGTCCTGCGATGGACCCGATGTGGAGCCTGCCAGCGGTCACCCGCCGCGGTCCAGTGATCTAAGCGGACGCTCACCTGTGGGGCCCGCCTGGCCAGGGAGACTGGGCTCGAGCGGCGCTCTGTCTACTGAGGGTACACAATACATTGCCCCAAAAGACGGTAAATAACTTTTGAAAATACCCATCTCCAATTTTAGTGTTTTCTGGACTAAAGGTTTGCGAGGAATCCGATGGTGTGGTCCCCGGGATCTGAAAATTTCCATTTTGGAGATAACACCTATTTTTTGAAAAATGAATATTCGTGAGGCATAATAGCTAAATAAATTGAAAATATAATGAGTTAATTTTTGTATAACAACACTAGAATGTGTCGAATATGAATTAGAGATATATTTTAGCTGAGATGATACTATATCTGCGCAAACATGTACATGAACTAGTACATTTACCCTCATCGGCCGAGAAGGGGTGGGGCGGGTGCCGCCTCATAGGGTTTTTCGCGATAGCTCAAAACACGCCTAGGGTAGACAGCTGAAACATGGCATACCTAATCTTATATTCAAGCTGGATCGTTTGACACCAACCGCGTTTTCAGGTCAGGTCAGGTCACTGACCTATGACGTCATAAATGAGCCTCTGCGAGGTCCTCAGATGTTGCAAACTTGCAACGCCCTCAGTGCCAGAGGAACTTTCACAGGAAGATGAAACTTACAGGACGTAGTATCCTCCAGAGGTCTCACAACTTGTGTATCTCGGATTTTTCCCAAAGGTCACATGAGGTCACTTCGGTTACGTGACCTCACCATTGTAAGTCAATGGGGGAAATATTAAGACTGTAATTTTGGCGCCGGAAATAATCTAAAACTATCCCAAGCACATGAAATCGTGGTTTCGTGATCGGACCTTACAAGGAGTGCATGAAACCACGATTTCGTGTGCTTCGGACAGTTTTAGATCATTTCCGGCGCCAAAATTACAGTCTTAATGTTTCCCCCCATTGACTTACAATGGTGAGGTCACGTAACCGAACTGACCTCATGTGACCTTTGGGAAAAATCCGAGATATACAAGTTGTGAGACCTCTGGAGGACACTACGTCCTGTAAGTTTCACCTTCCTGTGAAAGTTCCTCTGGCACTGAGGGCGTTGCAAAGTTGCAACATCTGAGGACCTCGCAGAGGCTCATTTATGACGTCATAGGTCAGTGACCTGACCTGACCTGAAAGGGTGGTTGGTGTCGAAAGATCCAGCTTGAATAAAAGATTAGGTATGCCAAGTTTCAGCTGTCTATCCTCAGCGTGTTTTGAGCTATCGCGAAAAACCCTGTGAGGTAGCACCTCCTCTTCTCGGCCGGCGAGGTTTATTGTACTAGTTTATGTACAATGTACATGTATGAGCAGATATAGTATCATCGCAGATAAAATTATCACTAATTTATGTTCGACACATTCTTATGTTGTTACAAATATTTACTCATTATATTTTCAATTTATTTGACTTTATGCATGACGAATATTTACTTTTCAAAAAATAGGTGCTATCTCCAAAATGGAAATTTTTCAGATTTCGGGGACCACACCATCGGATTCCTCCCAAAATTTTGGTTCGGAAAACACTAATATTAGAGATGGGTATTTTCAAAAGTTATTTACCGTCTGTTGGGGCAATGTGGGTAGGGTGGGTAGCCGCTCACCGGAGTCGTTGGAATCTTTGCTCGGGACAACTTCCTGAAACTACTTTTTGCTGGTCGGAGAGATTGGATGGAATTCCTCCAATGTGCATATTAGTGTTTGCTTTGCAACGTAACGAAGATGAATCTCACGAGATGGCGTTTCTGGACTAGTTGCAATGTCCCGGGACCGAGTCTGATGGTGGCTGACGGTATCTCGGACTCGATCAAACCTGGCCATTTGCACTTAGAGCTCTCCTCCTTTTGCCGGCCCTGTGTAAGATCACTGGCACTAACAGTTGAGCAAACAACTCGCTTTATGTCACCTTTCCCACGGCTGTTCATTCGTACGCTGTCAAGTACAGACGGGATTAAACCGAAACATTGAATGGACTGACAGCTGAATGCATTGTGCAATCGCTCACGTACCGCCCATAGACGCTCGCTTAGTATCGTGACTGTTTCGTTCTACATTATGCGAATGATCAATCATGACTGATACAGTAGTCCAGACTTGCATTTCGCGCATGGTGTGCCGTGTACTTACATATAAGCTATTCGCCTTTGTTGTGGCCTGGTAGATAAATCTGCCTGCCGGTAAATCGCACTATCCCAGATATGTCTTTAACCTGGCCACCTCTCCCGCCTGCACCGGGCTGCAGAAAGGTCGCCTGAGCTCATTGATCACACTGAGTGGTCGACTTATCACGACTTGGTGTTAAATGCGGCCCTGTGCCACTCCAACTTCGCACCACTTAAACAGTCATTCAGGTTGAACACGTCAGATCACAACAGAAACTTCCCACGTCACTTGCGTCACAATCACCCGAAACTTTCCAGAGTTACGGAAGTCGTGATGAATTATGATATTCCGGCTAGGTGCTGCTCTGCTTCATGATTTAGCATAAGCCCCTTTGGTGGGTTACATTCACCGTGCTGACTTCATCGTCGTTCACAGGTTATACTAGGCCACTGTGGACTCTAATGAGCCGCGCTGAATGGGGTGACGCCGGCGGCGCGCTGTGACGTAAAATGGCGCGCGAAAGTGGCACGCGTCGCAGTCACATGTCGAGGTGTGACCCGCAGATTCGGGGGTGTCCGATGTGCTCATTTGGTGAGAAGGTGAGCTGGAAACCCGTGGGACTGGCAACTCACTTCATATGTCACCCACACGGGTGGGGAACTCCGATAGGGAGCCATTGCGAATGTGCCTCTTATCGTAATAGCGGTAGGCGCTCAGCTCAGTGCACTCAGTGTGATTTGGTGTCATGCTGAAGAAAGCTCTGATTTAAGACACCAATTAGCCGGTAGAGCACCTGTGATATGCGGGTGCGCGCACAGATTAATCGCAAACCTGACACTATTTATAGGACACATTAGGACGAGACACTTCATAAAGACACGTCGCCATAAAGTGCAGGCTCAGTGGGGGAGTGGACAAGGACGCGTCTGAACTTTCACTGTTAGCCGTGCACTGCCGGTGACGCGGTTTTTGCCACGGGCCGTCTCTCTGTGGTGTCCAGTCACCACAGAACCGGCACTTCCCTGTCCACACCGTGAGGGGGTCTCCGCTCAAAAGTCACCGACAAAACACGTCTCGTGTTCCGTGCCGGTGGCTGGGGTCTGTGAAATACCGACCACCCCGTATAGCTCATGCTCAAACATGTTGTATGCGACTAAACAGAGCTGATATTCTACCCCGCGACCGCCTGGGGGGGGGGGGTCGGATCCGACCCCCCCCCCTCCGTTTTTCTTGAATAACTCATGAACCGCTTGCGCTATCAACTTGAAACTTCGCATACCTTCTCCCCCATCAATTTGACGTCTCCTGTGCAATTTTTAAGAAAAAAAATTTCAAAAATTTCTGAGATATATCGATTTTAGTGATGTAACTACATGGCGTTTTCAGTCAAAAAATGGTAAATGTTTAAAAAATCGCCAAAAATCGAGGTTTTAAGCAAATTGCAAATTAAGGACATGAAAAGACGCAGCTCAACGAGTTCTTTAAAATGGCTATCTCGGATTTTCCATAAAATGCGTTTTTCACCCCTAAAAATTCAAAAAACTATATTTTTTGGAAAACAGCTAATAAAATCCAAAATTTTGAGAATTTCCAAAAAACCAGAATATGTGTTGTAGAGCTCTATTAGAACATTAGATGCCCCAAATTTCAACTTTCTATCTTGATTTTTGACCCCCAAATTGTAAAAAATAGCTCCAACATGCATAGGGCATGGTGACGTCATAAGCATTTTCGCGAATTAGAGGC